GATCGTGGTAGACATGCGAGCAAGCTTTGCTATCGTGCCCCTTTTGCGCCTTCAACAGTGCGCGACGAAGGCGCTGGAAGTTCGTAGACCGCAATATACACCTTCGTACGCAAGCCTACGATGAGCGGTGCGAGAATAGCGCGCCGAATCTGCCACAGCATTAGCATTGCTGCTCAGTGCCATTAGCACAAGAGAAGTTGGAGCCTTTTGTGGAATTAGTCCGATCACTGTCTTCTCTCCCAAAGTGGATGGTGCTGAAAGAAATTGGCCTCGCTCGGGGCGCAAATGGGACTTTTTTTGCTTGGTTTTCTAGACTTCTTTCACCTCAAACTTCATAACTAAACGCTCTTACACTCCTCTTTTACCCGGGGCTTGCCTTCGAGTAGCGATCCCATTTGAGATGTTTATATGCGCCATATAGTCGGCTCTCTAGAATGTAAAATCATCTAAACTCGTGGTCAAGGAATATCCTAGAAGGATTGTCAGGGTGAAGAAATCGAGATAGAACTTCATTAAATACCAAAAGGAACGCCTGAAAGTCGATGCGATTCAGATTTCAGGAAATTTTTAGATCGACTTAAAAAAAAGGAGATTCCTATTCAACCTGGTCATTACATTTGATTTTATTGATCGTTGTTGATTTAAGAATCGATGCTGTGAATACTGGCCTCAAGAAACAGGAGCACAAGTGGGACAGCTAGTTGTGGAGCCGATCGCCGAATACAACATGCGAGAGTATATTCTTCGTGAATTCCGACTCAGCGATGTCCAAGTAAATATCCTTTGTTTGCTTTTACTCAACAATTGTATGAGATTTCGAGTACTGTTCATCCATTCTATCATGACTCTTTGTAGTCTGGCATCACTCGTACTGTGCGGCATTTCCAATACACCGAATGGCCGGAACAAGGGGCGCCTAAATCAGGAGAGAGCTTCTTGGATTTGATTCAACAGGTAATTCTATATCTATGAGTTTTGTGAGAAGATCTGACTGGTAATGGTACAATCTGTGCCCTAGCCGCTTTTTTGCATAGGATTTGGAGCCTTGAACACGGGTATTAGACTTAGTTGATCAGGTGGCACTTTGCTTTTTCAACTTTGTAGGACGGGCACAGGGATGTAGCCACGTATGATGATCATCAATTGGTCTAATTTAGCCTCGATCTAACTATAAGCCCATTTACGTAGCTCAGAGAGTCGTTCAGCTAGCAGCTGATGATGAGATGCATCATAATTTGGCTCTGGCGGGTTATAAGTGACTTAATTGGAGCTGGAGTTATTGATTCGTCATCGATCAACTGCATAGTTATTATAATTGATAATTGCTGAAACGCTCACAAGGGTGTTACGAACTTTTTTAGTAACTTTTCGGCCCACTAGGATTACCTTTAGGTGAATCGTCGCCTGAACCCTGAGGAAATAGGTGCCATACCTTTAGAAACTGAAAGTTAACCATCGGCTATCACAGTATGGGAAGCGTTAGATTAGAAATGGAGCGTATTCATAGTCTGGTTGAAAAGCT